ACTGGTAGTGACCCACTTGATGAGCAAACCCCAGCATACTTTTGGACGCTATAGGGATCTTTAGCTTAGGTAAAAGAAGCGTTGCTGCAGAGTAAATGGGGAAGCTAAAAACACCAAAGAGTTGTTAGGTATAAAAGAGCTGGGTGTGTGCAGGCATAGGTTCATTAACATCTGGAGCAGAGATCCCCATGATGCAGTGCTTCCCTGCTTTTCTGGTCCCAAAGTTCAGTACGGTTCTTGTGCTGGAATCTCTGTTCTCCATTCTGTATGCTAATGGAGATGCCTCCCTGTCCCATCTTTGATGCAGATGAGGCTAGGGGAGTTGCCTTTGTTCTTGTCACCCTTGTCAGGAGGGGTGTAGGTGTGTCTCTAATCTGCCCTTCATTGCTCTCTGCAAGTCTTTTCTCTGACCCGTTTTGGTTTAAGCAGAGGCGGGGAGGGAGGGGTGTCTTTCATGAGTGAGACAGGCTGGATACTGCGCCCTGGTTCCCCAAGAACACAGAGCTGACTGGTATCAACAGGGAAGATAAGAGATCTGCTACTGCTGGCAGTAAAGTGAGCTCTCCTTTATCTTAGGAGATAGAGGCCTGTGTTTAGAACCAAAGGACAAGGGCCTAGTGCTCCCGTGGCACCTGCGACTCTTGCTCCCATTCTGGCAGTGTCTGATGGATGGGTGGCTCTCAGAGAGGTACTGCCCTGTGCACAACAAACCCTGCTGGGAGACCCTGCCCTGGAGAGCTCCCAGCCCTATGGGGAAAGCACTAGGTTGGGCTGGGTTGGCTACTCAGAGTTAGGGTTCCCAGCTTTGGCTGGATGAATTCTGGAGGTTTCATCAAATGACGTTATCTTTATTTAAAGATTAATCCTTAATTCTTGGAGACTCCAGGACAATCCTGGAGGGTTGTCAACCCTGCTCACGGTCCTTCACTGCTGCTGACATTGGGGGCCTGTGGGAGGCTAATGCTCAGGCAGGGCCGGCTCCAGGGTTTTGTCCGCCCCAAGCAGCCAAAAAAAAAAAAGACCGCGATCATGATCTGCGGCGCCAATTCGGCGGGATGTCCTTCGCTCCGAGTGGGAGTGAGGGACCGTCCGCCGAATTGCCGCCGAATAGCTGGACGTGCCGCCCCTTTCCGAAGTGCCCGCCCCAAGCACCTGCTTGCCAAGCTGGTGCCTGGAGCCGGCCCTGTGCTCAGGGCCCTGTGCCAGCACCACTGTCATCTCAAGTTCCCTGGATCACCCAGGAGGTGACTTCACCCTTAAACACACATAACCCCCAAAAGTAATTTCCCTGCTTTTCTATGAAATACGATCCCTAGTCTGTCTTTTAGAGGCCCAGCTTCGCTGGAGACTACGTAGCCCATCCTCAGCGTCAGGACTTTTCAGAGGCTCCTCTACTTCAGAGTATACGGGAGCCTCCGCCTGGCACTGGGGCCTTCCGGTCTGCGCCGCTAGTCTGATACTAGGGGCGCTCCACTCCTTCCTGAGGCGTTACTACTCGTGATATTACGGGATCCTCCGGAGCCCTGTCCTTCCTGTGGCGCCGCTACACCTGATATTACGGGCGCCCGTCGCGTCTTTACCCCCCTCCGCCGAGCGGGGCCCTCACCTCTGCCCGTCACTCAGCGGAGGGGCCGCCCCCGGCGGAGACTCCGCACCGAGATGGCGGCCGAGATCCACGCCAGGCCGCAGAGCAGCCGGCCCGTCCTGCTCAGCAAGGTCGAGGGGCACCAGGACGCGGTGAGCGCCGCCCTCCTCATCCCCAAGGAGGACGGGCTCATCACCGCCAGCGAGGACAGGTGGGCGCCGGGCCGCCCGCTCCCCGGGGCACGGGCAGAGCCTCCCCCATCCCCGGGGGAAGGGGCGGGTGGACCCCTCAGTCCCCCGGTTCAAGGCTCCGGCTCTCTCCAGGGAAGCCCCCTCGGCTCACTGCCCCGGGCTGGCAGGCGGCGGAGGCTGCAGGTCGCTGGGTCTCAGCCCCCCCGGGCTAACCCGAGCAGCCCGCCCGTCGCGGTGCCCCTGGAGGAGCAGCTCGTGGGGGCTCCCTGCCAGCCGCGCTCCGACCCCTCCCGGCTCGAGCCGCGCCGTGCCCGGGAGCAGCCGGGGCGCGGGGGCCGTTGGCTGGGCTGCCCTTCGTGCCGTGCCGTGCCGTTCCGGGTGGCAGGGCTGCGGGTCCAGAGCCTGCCCAGAGGGGGCCCTGCCTTCCCCAGACAGGTCGGGGCGGGGAGGGGTCTGTAGGAAAAGCGTGTTAGTTCCAGGGGGACCCCACCCCTCCAAAGGCTTCGTTGAAGGAGAAAGCTAGTGGGTCAGTGAGAGCGGGGAAGAAGTGAACTGAGGGCAGAGTAAGGAGTCAGTGCTCGTCAGTAAGCCCTGGGCTTCTCTAGTATGTGCTACTGACTCGGATGCAAGTTGCTGACTACTGGAACAATCCGTTAGACCCCTCAGTCCTGAGACGTGCCTTTGTCAAAGGCCGAGTGCTGTTCTGAGGAAGAGGTGTAGGCACCATATTTAAACACCACATTTTAAACACCACCAAAGAGTCCGATTCTGGTCGCCGGTACACTACTGTGAAATCGGAGTAACTTGGCTCAGACTTCTCTAGCACTGAGAGTAACTTCTGTAAACAGGAGTAGAATTTGGCTCTCATTATTTTAAATTTGGTCCTGGGATTGGCAAGAGGCAGCAGTGTTGTGGGAGTCCAGGTGGATGTGAGAGATGCAGGATTGAGAGTCACAGTGTAAAAAGGCAAATTCTCTTTAAGCATGAATTTTGCCAGAAGGCACAAAATAGTGACTCTTGCCACTAGCCATAAAGAAACAGTGGATTGCAACACTGACTAGGGAAAATGAACCACTTGTTACACTGGGAGTGGTGAATTGTGAAACTGAGCAAGAGTTGGCTAGCATGCTGCCATTTGGGGTTGGTTATGAATGAGATGGGCTTCTAAATATTAGAACTAACAAATACTTCATACAACCTGTTTTGAGGATCTTGATGCACTTTGTAAAGATAAATTAAGCTTCCCAATTCTCTTCTGAGGTAGGCAGGCAGCTATAATTACCTCTTTCACAGATGGGTAAATGGAAGCATGTGGAAAGGTTAGATGGCTTCCCTGAATTAATACTGAGCCTATGGCAGAGCTAGGATTCGATCAGGCTTTCTTTTAATCACTAGATCTCATTGCTTCTATGATAATTGGGAGGGAAAGCAGCAAATAACTATCTAGTGGAAGAGAAGAACAGAGCCACTGAGGATTTTTGGGCTGGAAGGGAGGTGCAGCTATCAAGGTTGTTGCAAGATGCTGTTATGAAGTGGTGGTAGTTGGTGAAATTTTCCAGCAGGTGGGAACGAAGCAGAAGAAATGGGAGCTGCACTTTTTTTTTTTTCCTCAGTTCAAAACATTTCAGTGTTGTCTGCTCTAGAGAAAAGTTATAGTCTGAACTGGATAAGGGCAGGGGTAATGATGAGACTGGAAAATATCCTCACACCAAAGCAGCAGCTTTCAACTGGGTGGGGGCGGGGTGGGGAGGAGTTACAGATAAGGACCATTATTTGTTATAAACATTGACTCAGTTTAAAACAACAAACAACCCTGCATGATATATATTTGCAAGCGTACTTGTTTGTAGAACCAGTCCTAAGGGAAAGTGAGCAAAGCCCAGGAAATCCCTATAAACTAGGTATATTGTAACAGGTGTTAGGAATTGGTTTAGTAGGTAACTTAACAATAGTAAACACTAAATGGGTTTAGTAACATAACACTAGTAAAGGAGTGACCAGCATTTCTCAGGGGAGAAGAAGACAGAAAATGCTAATCCATATTCACTCTTTCTGTTCTTTGGAGGGATAGCATGAATTTTTTTTCTGCTTAGCCTATCAAGAACTGCTTTACATTCTGGAAAGAACTCAGATTCTAACATGTATTTTTGTTGAGGAAGAAGTTGAAGACTGCATAAGGGAGTCTTGTAAACAAGTAGTCTCTGCTTATTGTTTTGATTCTAGTGTGCAGACTAGAGACAGAATTGCCTTTTTGGAGGTGGTTGGGAAACCCACTTCCATTTGACAAAGGAGATTAGAACTTTTAGATTTTTAGAATAATGTTTTAGTCTTAGGCATGTTTAGTTTTTAGCCCAGTCCTCATGATCATGGAGAAAAGTTCAAAAATGTGCATCTTGAAGGCTCAAATAGAAAGCAAATGCAAATTTATCCAAAGCTGTTATTTCAAAATCATGATTTGGGGGAACTGACTCTGATTTTTGAACACTTAGGATTGGCATTGCTGGATTTAGGAGCTGATCAATGGGACGTGTGCTTCTAAGTTACTTGAGTGGTTTTGAAAATACCATCCATAAACAGCTAAACATGGATTTAGGAGTTCTGGGGTGGGGCTGTGGATGAGGGGTTTGGGGTGTAGGAGGGTGCTCTGGGCTGGGACCAAGGGGTTTGGAGGGCAGAAGGGGGATCAGGGCTGGGGCAGAGGTGTGGGGGGTGGGGTGTAGGCTCCATGCAGCGCTTACCGGAAACAGCAGCATGTCTCTGGCTCCTACATGCCCTGTCCGCAGGCGCTGCCCCCGCAGCTCCCATTCACCGAGATTCCCGGCCAATGGGTTGGGAGCTGCGGAGTCAGTGCTTGAGGGTGGGGACGGAGGCAGTGTGCAGAGCTGCCTGGCCATGCCTCCACCAGCAAAGAGGACTAGGAGGCCCACATGGCCAGGCATCTCTGCAGGCATGCTGCCTCCATCTCCAGGCGCCACCCCCGTAGCTCCCATTGGCTGAGGCTTGGAGCCACGGAGTCAGCGCTCAGGGAGCGGGGATGGAGGCAGCATGCCTGCAGAGGTACCTGGCTGTGCCTGCAACAGCAGGGATGGTGAGCTCCCACACAGACCTCAAAATTTTTACCATGGACACATAGCTGGCACGGCACCAGACACTGCAACTATGTACTGGGTCTGGGATGTGATCAGAGCAAGCCTGGGCCAGTTTCCTTAGTCCTGTTCCATGGAGATGGGGAAATCTTGTGTCCCATGTAGTACTTGTGAGGGAGATTGGCTGCTGGGGCCATATTCTGGATCTTTGGTGGAGCCTGGCCAGCTCAACTTCCTCCTCCCCCTGCTCACTACAGCTGCTCTAGCACTATAGTCTCTTCTGCTGCTGCTTGGATGGCAGTGTGGAGCCAGCATTAGCATGGTGTTCATTTATTTCGATATGCTTCCATGCAAAGGACATAAGGGGAACAGTGATTTTTCAACATGTTATCTCTGCCAAACCTGAAAAGCATTTTATGGCACTCTATCTCTAGCCCCAGAGCTGCCAAAGGCCTGTTGCAAACATGGTGGTGGTGGAACTTCACACACACAAGTTTCAACTACTTTTTGTGATGGTGTTAGGATAAATACTGGGGTTGCTGCTTGCTCTCCCTATAATAATATGCTGCATCTATAAATCTCCTATACTAAAGCTTGCTCAGATAGATACTGTACTGTATTCCCAATTCATACCTAAACATTGCACCTTTTTTAAAGTCCAAAATGTCTTTTAAAAAGTGACACACCAAAGATGGTAAGGAACTGTATGTAGCTCAAGACTGAGAGTCTATAAACAATCCTATAATCTGTTTCATTAGTCCAGGGAGTTATTGTTGTTTTGGTTCTTGGAATCTCAGATTTCAGCATTTGTTGCATTAGATAATTTGTAAGAGAGTGCTTGCTCTCTTGAGATTAGGGGGAATATAAGATTGTCCTGCATCTTTGAGCCACAGCTTAATATGGTATCAAACTGTTTATTTAACTTCAAACTTCATGCTTTTCTGCTTTTACTTCAGAACAGTGCTTGAACTGTGGGACATAAGAGTTGTACAGCATAGGTGCCTATTCCATACATTAACTTCTCACATCTGCTGGCACCAAAGAACAGGGATAACAATTGGAGCATTCTATCCCTCTATCTCTCCCAGTTTAAGCAGCATGCCTCTTGAGTAGCTTGTGGTGTAGAGGATAGTAAAACTTGATACAGCTAACATTAACATCAAGTTGGCTATGAACTAGTACAGGGATCGGCAACCTTTCAGAAGTGTGTCGGAGTGGTAGCTGTGTTAGTCTGTATCAGCAAAAAAAATGAGTACTTGTGGCACATTTATTTGAGCATAAGCTTTCGTGGGCAAAAACCCACTTCATCGGATGCATGCAGTGGAAGACACAGTAGGAAAATATATATACACAGAGAACATGGAAAAAAGGGTGTTGCCATAGCAACTGTAACAAGGGTAATTAATTAAGGTGAGCTATTAGCAGCAGAAGAAAAATAACTTTAGTGATAATCAGGATGGCCCATTTCTAACGGTTGATAAGAAGGTGTGAGTAACAGTAGGGGGAAAAATTAGCATGGGAAAACAGTTTTACTTTGTGTAATGACCCATCCACTCCCAGTCTTGATTCAAGCCTAATTTAATGGTGTCTAGTTTGCAAATTAATTCCAGTTCTGCAGATCTTGTGTGGGTGGTGGAATCTTGCTATTGAAAATGCTCTGCCAAGAGGGAGGTAGGGATCCTAGAAGAGTGAGCATTTGATCATTGTTCCATCATTGCTCCTATTAGGATTTCACTAATTGCTTGGGGGTTTTGTCTTGTCTTGAAATGAAAATCTCCAAATAAGAACACTGGCACTTATGATGTACAACACCACTAACATGAAACATCCCTCCCCAAAACCAAAAACACTCGCGTTATGGAACTTGCTCAAAGTCACAGTGAGTCAATGACAGAACCAGAACTCAGGAATCCTCGCTCTCCCATGCTCTGAAC